GATTCAAAGTTATTTGATTTAATTAAAAACAATATCGAAGTCATATTTTTACCATCCGGATGGAACATTCACAAACATGAACAGCATATTGTATTTATGAAATTGAACAATGCTGTCTTACCACAGAGATTGAAAGATCTGTAACTATTAAGCGTGAACTAAAAAGCACGGTCTATACTAATGGCGTTAAACGACGCTACAAAAATTTTGAAGTTATCCATTCTTCATCTAATTTGGAAAACCTTTCGATATTGTAGATAAGGGAAATATCATCAAAAGGTAAACAAAAAAAAAATAATTTCAAGTTACTTTACAAACTGCTGTCACCAACCTGAGAACAAAAGGGACATATGAAGAGTTGTAAAGAGACATTAAGGCCAAGTTGCTTGAAGAACAATAAAACTTACTGGACGTTTGCATAGAGGCGACGCAAAAGGGAAAACATGGAGTGCGTTACACCCTAAACTAGATGTATACATGCATTTTAATGAAAATTAAGAGCCCCAAACTGTATGATCACATAAGAATGCACAACATTATGCCACTTCCGAGTCAAAGGACATTAGTTAGTTACATGAAAACAATAGATGGAAATTTTGAACTATTTGGTGTGATCAAAGAGAAAACTAAAATGATGCCAGATTATGAAGCCCGCGGTTGACGAATGCAAAAAACACCTTCAAAGCATTTAAAAAAGGACACAATGGAGTTGTGTGGTTTCGTTGATCTGGGATCACATATCCCAGATAAACAAAAAAATGAGTTGAGTGGTCACATATTGGTATTTAGGTTCCAAACTTTCGCCGGAAAATCTATTCAGGCCTTTGGGAATGTAACCGGAGAGGTCCAAGCTAAACTTATGCCAGAATGCATTATTCTTTGTGAATAGATATCGTTACAAGTAACTGCCACGTGGAACAGAAATATGTGGAACCACTTTGGCATCACGGATAGTTCCAAACCATGGTGTAATCATCCCGTTGTCTCGGAGGATCAAAACCCAACTCCTGAAGAACGTCAATTAAAGTTTTGTTCTGATTGGCACCATTTGATAAAGTGTCTACGAAATTTATTAATAAAAAGACAAAAATTGGTTGTAAGTAAAATTAAGCATAATGAATTATAGGTACTTTATATTTCACATTATGTGCATTTTAAGGTACCTCAAGGCGTTATGAAGTACGCATTTTTTGCTAGTTTGTGAAAATACGAAGAACATACGAACTTTCGTGTTGCATACAAATTAACAAAAAGACATATTTGACCCAAACTTAGGAGAAAATGTCCGCAAAATTAGCGTTTCAGGTTGTTTGCGATTAAACAAATAATTATTATAATTCCATACAAAATATCTTTTTTAGCTTTTCAGTAACAGTGTTGGGAATGCGCAAAAATAGAGTGCCTGAGTTGCATGATGCAGAAGCAACGATTCAATGAATTGATTGTTTAGGACATTTTTTATATTTTGTCGGTGCGGCCTCCACGTGTTGGCGGTGTCTTTGTAAGGCAGCTGCACGTGTGCGGACCTTCAACCTTGTAAGGCGGCCGCCGTCTGAAGTGCGGCTCGCACCACCTCTGGCGGCGGGGTTTGGACGGGCTATTTCCCCCCTAATATCACGACATTTTTGTGTGGACATTAGCAGTGTAAGTCGGATCGTTGCAATGTAACCATCGAAGGAAGTTAAAATAAAACAAAGTAAAAATACAGTCCACTTATTTATTTTTAACGAATAAGAATCCAACATTGATATTATGAATTCGTCATCGCCATTTACAGGTCTAAAGCTCAACTCTGAGGATTATAAGGTGTGTACTTATTTTCAGTGTTGTTTTATACTACATTTTACAATATCAGTTAACGATGACTATTACCCAAAAATTATGAAATATGGCCAAAAAACTAACTGCAAATAGGTATTAAAGGTGTCTAATTTCATAGAATCGAACACATTCATACAATATTTCCGTAAAATAGAAACTTCATGTAATACTAGAAGTCCATTTCTATCTTAAATAAATTGGGAAAATGTAATTTTTAAAATCATACAGGAATTGGAAGACGTTCTATTGTATTTGACCTTGTGGGAGGAAGTTTCTCTTCCTGAATACTTTTTATCAAAATCAATATATGATGGTCAGAGGGCTACCATAAATTGTACATTGAGTCTAGTAAATTACTTATCAAATACCCAAAAATTCAAGTACCTGATGACCAGGAGAATGAACCAAGATGCTCTGGAGGTAACTATTTCACTTCTTGCAGAGATAATTGCATTATTAAATATTTTCAGCACCTTTTCGGGCTTTTACGCAGTAGCGGAGGCTGCAATAGTCATCCAGAATTTTTACAAGTTGGGAAAATATTTCGTTTAATGTCTGTGTATTCACTAATAAAACCTCCAAGAGGTAGTAATGTTTCTGGAGGTGAAATACTTAAAAGCCTCTTAAACACAGAAAATATGCAAACGCCAAAAAAGAAAACCACTTTGACTTTCCGTCTTCTAGTGAACGACGAAATATTTCAACAAGACGAGGCTTTTGTAGACAACCGAGAAGCCTTTGCATACTTGTGCGGATACATAGCAAAATGTTTTAAAACCAAAATTTGCTCAGATTGTAAAGAGAGTTTGTTTGGTAGTGGCACAGAAGATTTCTGCTCGATAATTACCCAAAAAAGTAAAGGATATTTGACATATGCTTTACAAGAACTGTACACTTTCTTGACTCATGTGGAAGCAGTTATTACAAACGTATTTGAAAAGGAACTCGAAAAAAATGCTGTTAGTACAATTATTGACACATTAAATGATCAGACATTTAATCATCTTGTTGGTTGTGTTACACATAAAGAGGAGGTAACACAACTAATTCTTGCAAAGATATTTCACTGTACGTTTGAATCTCGCCTGCAAGAAAAAAGCCAATGAACGTAATCTTGCCAACAAATCTAAGCAGTTGGCGAAGCTGGCAAAACAATATTAATCCCGATGCACCGGTAAGTCTCAAACCCAGCATAAAGTTACACGTAATATTTTCATTTTCAGTAAAATGACTAAGAAGTATTGTAATCGAGTCCATTGGGCGACTCTAATGTTTTTTCGACGTTTCATGACCCCTAGAGTACGAAAAAAATAGGTTTCTTGTTTTTATCAGTCTCTTTCTCTTTGCCATCTGCCGTTTGGCCGATTGTTGTCAAATTTTGTATGTACATATATTAGAAATATCATGTATGGGAAAACGCTCGCCAAAATTTGTCTGATCGTCTTCACCAACCATGGCATGATGTGGTCTCCAACTTTTACAAAAGTAAATGCCATTTACATTTTATAAAATAACATGCCCATCCACTCGTATTTTATGAAACCGTGAGTTTTTACTCTAGGTGTCCAGATTTTTGAAAAAAATCTAAATTGTGTAACAACATTTTGCAATTTTACTTTGAAAATGCAAATTGAAATCTTGCAAACGTTTTACGATTATAGTAAATCGTTAATCAAAATTTATCCGTTTATCCCCTCCCAAAAAAGTTGACGTCATCTCAAAATTTTTACGAATAAAAGCTATAATATACACAATATAAAGAATTTATACTTATGGTTTATCAATGCACTCACAGTTTAATTATTTATCTAAAGTGACACAAAAAAACAATGAATGAGGGGAATGTTTTATTGACAATCCCATTTTCCCGAAAATTTGAGGATTTAGTACTGTTATTAATAGTAATACACTGCACATATTCAAATTGATATATCTGTTCTTGCTCAAATGTTGATGACGTCATCATAAAAATTTAATTTTTAATTTTAGATCGCCAAAAAAATTACAGTGAAAATTAAATTTTATAAATTTTCGAAGCAGTATTTATCTGACTGTACTTTAAGAAACCCGTTTTTTTGTTTGTAGTTTTGGTCATACTATCAAAGTAATTTTTTTTTCCCACTTTCATGTGACTAGGGATAAAATTAAAAAACTACAATATTGTGAAGGGTTTATCAAAATACATCTCCCTAATTTTTACCTGCCTCTGCATGCTCTCACATTAAAAGTCTACCGGTCATTTTGACCGCTTTCGGTCATTCTCGGTAGAAGAACAGACCGGCCATTCTAGTGTTAAGTTGTAAATATCTCTTGCTATTGTACTACTGTCCGTCTCGTTATTGTCACTTATAAAATAATACCCTGAGTGTGTGATTGTTTCCGGAAATTTTTCCAGTGATTCTCAAAAACGCGAGAACTAATTACACGTTTTTGAGAATCACGAGAACAAAATTTCCGGATTCAATCAACAGACGAGTGGTATTCAGTAAGAAAATTGCATGACATTAAGATTTTTCAAAAAAAAAACTCTTAATTTATTAAAGCAAGAGAGAAATTATGAAAATGACTTGGCGTAGCAACACTCAGGGCGACTTGTATAAAACTTCGCTGAACTGCTTGTCATATGACCAACGGTTCATCCGTTGGTCACTTTTGATCTGAGTTCAAGACTAATTTGCTTGTACATAGCGCGGTTAACGACAGGTCAGTTGACTAAGCATTTTAAGCAGTTGGTAGCACTGAATATCGTTGAAAATGGTTAGGTGAGGTTACATACATAATTTGACAGCGTTCAAAACAAACAGCGTTTCGTTATTATTGTGTTTGCAAGTCGGCAAGTTGCACCTGAAACCTGAGTGATCTTATTTTAAATATTATAGGTATTATTTATTATTAGAACAGATTTTGTTACGTCGTGGTAAGAACAGTGACGTGGTAACTGCAGCGTATAATAATTTCACTTCTCAGATTTTCCAGTTTGTACTTGCGAAAATGTGTTCAACGTCGTCCACAGCAAAGACCAAATTAGTACGTTCCAGCAACTTCAGCACGAAGGAACAACATGTACTGATATCGCTGATAGCTAAGTATAAGAATATTATTGAGTGCAAGGAGTCAGATACTAACAGTAACAGGAAAAAAATGCAGCGTGGAAAGCTCTATGTGCTGAATTTAACAGCATGAGTGGCGAAACCGCACGTGATGTAACTGTCCTCAAAAATAAATATAATAACCTAAAGAAGAGGGCTAAAGGAAATTTTGCACAGGAAAGATCCAATGCTTTTGGAACTGGTGGGGTCCCGTCGGACCCGTCACCAGTTACTGAGCTGGATATTCAAATAAAGGAAATTATAGGTAAACAGTCTCTTAAATACTCACATAAATCAATTAGTGTAGTCCTATAGTGTGAACCACATTTTACACTTGTGAAATTGCTAGTAAAGATTATTTTTATAGGTAAGCAAGTGACGGGTGATGACTCCATTTTTGACTCGGATGCCATGGATGATCATCCAACAAGAGAAAATGACATAGAAATTGTAGGCACTGAAGTTGTGGACGAAACCATCACCATTGAAATTAATGATTCTGATGGGAAAAATGAGTTAAGTGATGAAATACAGGAGGAAGTGTCATCAAATTGATTAAGTTTACAAACAAAATGGAATTCTCCAGGTGTACCAAAGAGCAGTAGCGTGTTTTCCATGGAAGCTAGGGAAGCACAGCTTCTCTTTGTGTGTTTTATAAAGGATGCAGTACAAAATCGGTTTTATTTTGTTGGCCATGCATTCTTTTTAGCAACGAAAAAAGTTTATAGAACAAAAACGGCTTCTCTGATCTGAATAACTTACATAAGCTCATAAAAAGGCATTCTTGCAGTAAAGCTCACATTCAGGCTATAGTTAAAGAAAAAACTTTTGCAAAAGTTATAATAGAGCATTCTTTAGATAATCAGTTGCGAATAAGTCATGAGCAACATAACCAAGAAGTACGCAAAAATCGAGAAATCCTTAAAAGGCTAATAGATGTAGTATGCTTCCTTGGTGAACATGAGTTAGCATTTAGAGATCACATTGAATCTGAAAGCTCATCAAATAAAGGTAACTACGTCGATTTATTGAATTTATTGGCGAAGTATGATGAGCCATTAAAATTTCATTTGGACAATTCAAAAGTGTTCAAGGGTACTTCAAATCTGATACAGAACGATCTAATTGCGAGCAGAGGGGAGGTTGCATTGAAGAGAATAAAAACTGAAATTAAAGATGCATCGTTTGTCGCCATTATGGTGGATGAAACCACAGACATCGCGAATGTAAGTCAACTTTCAAAAGTTGTACGATATTTGACCAAAACAGGAAACAAAAGAACGATTTTTGGGTTTTGTTAACATCTCATTAGAAAGAACAGCATCTAGCCTTTATAATTTAGTTCAAAAAACTATTGAAGAACTAGAGTGCGGTTCAAAATTAATAGCACAAAGTTACGATGGCGCAGCAGTGATGGCAGGAGAACTGGGAGGGCTTCAAGCAAAAGTAAAAGAAACTTATCCAAATGCGTTATTTGTTCATTGTATGGCACATCGCCTAAATTTGGTTTTGCAACAATCCTGTAGTAGCATAAAAGAATGCAAAATATTTTTTTCTAACTTAAGCGGTATTGCGTCTTTCTTTTCGAAGTCATCGAAGAGGAGTAGTGCTTTAGATTCAGAGGTTCATAAAAGAATGCCAAAAGTTGCTCCAACTAGATGGAATTACAATGGTAGATTAGTTCAGACTATTTACGAATATCGACAGCCACTTATAGAACTTTTTGAATTATTTCTAAATCAAGAAGAGCGGTGGAACCATGAAACCGTTGTTTGTTCCAGAGGGTATTTATCCCTGTTGACCAAAGATAAAATTTTTAATTTACTATTGATTAGTTTTTCTGATATACACTGCGTTTCATATAAAATGCACCACCTAGAAGGAGTAGGCGTAGAATGTAGAAATTTGGTGGAGGAGACTGTTGCATATAGACAAACAATTGATTAAAATTTGAAAGAAAAACTACTACTTGTTTAGATAATATACCGAGTGTTATTCGATTTTTATTAATTTTTTGATTATGTTTTAAAGATACTTGAGTAAGATTCTTTTGCAATTTTACTTGACATTTGTCATTATTGTGCTTGCAAAAATGCTACGAGTCCACACACGAGGTAATTTTCAACAGATAACACCTATTGAAAGAGGGCGAATGATTGGGATGCATGAGGCTAGTTTACCATTTCGGGAAATCACCAGAAGACTCGGCCCAACGGATTCTACGATATTAAGAACAAGTCGAGAATGGAACAACGAAGAGCTACAAATGCGTCGCAGGGGTACCGACCGTTTCAGAGTCACCCAAGAACGCGAAGATCATTTGCTAAGAAGAAGTGTTATTCAGTACCCTTGGTAACCATAACGATCAGTCGGGATGGACTGGATGACAGCAATTGGGCACAGAATCCGAGGAGTACCATCTACCGCCAAATTCGTTCCTTTGGCTTGAGATCTTATCGTCCAAACTGCAAACTTCCCTTACCACAAGAACACAAAACTACCAGGCTTCACTGGTACCAAGACAGGCAGCAATGGCTGTAATAGTGGAATGTCATAATGTTTAGGAACAAGTCTAGGTCTTGTTTGTGGCACTCTGATGGACGCATACGTGTTCGAAGGCCTTGAGGCCAAAGGTAAAATCTGGAATTTGTACAGAGATGTCATATCGCTCTAACACCTGGAGTAATGATATGGGATGGTATACACATCTGTTGAAGTACTCCCTTAGTGTTCATTCCAGGCACGCTAAATGCCCGGCATTACATCGTTAACGTGTTAAATCAATTTCTTTTTCCTTATCTCTCGAACCGTCGAAGAACATCTTTTGAACAAGATAATGCGTGGCCTCATGTGGCCATATTAACTTAAAGAGTGTTTGACGAAAATTACGTCAACTTCTTACCCTGGCCTGCCCTATCACCAGATTTATCAACAATCGAAAATGTTTAGGATTTAATGCATAGAAGGCTGCGCAATTTACCACATCCTCCAAAGACTTTGGAAGAATGTCTACAACAAATTCAAAATGCCTGGAATGAGATACCCCAGCAGGCAATAGGTCATCTCATTTTAAGCATGCCTAGAAGAATACAGTCTTGTATTCGTGCACGTGGAATTTTAACACATTATTAACATTTCTTGTGTTAGACATTTTATTTTTTCTTTGAAATTTTAATCAAATGTTTGTCTACGTGCAATAGTCTTCTCCACCAAATTTCAACATTCTACGCCTACTCCTTCTAGGTGGTGCATTTTATTTGAAACGCAGTGTATTTCCTTTCTGCGACAATGTATTTGCTGTTCTACAAAATAAAACCAGCGACATTAAATTTTGTATTAAAAATATTAACGAATTTAAATCAATCATATCATCCAAGAGGGAAAAATTCGACGAAATTTGGAATAAATTTCATATGTTTGATATTGGCACTGAACCAGACATGAAAAGAAGTCGCATTGCTGTAATTGGAGCTTGCTTTCAGAGACTATATTTTGAAATTATTGACAATATTACGTCTCACATGGATACGCGATTTCAAAATTTCAGCAATCTAGAATTTTTAGAACTAGTGGATTTTAATAGTCATACTGTAGTTTCGGAAAGTGCTTTGGAGTGTCTTAAAAGGAAGTATTCAGTTTATTTTGATTTTCACTCCTTGCGTTCTGAACTTTTTGTAATGTACAATACGGAAGGTTTAAACAAAAATAGTGAGTGACTTATGGCGATCCATAAAAAACTGTGAACTTGATCAAGCTTGTTCTGAAGTTTTAAAATTATGTGAATTAGCCCTTACCATTCCTGCGACAAGTGTCTCAACAGAGCGCAGTTTTTCTGCTCTGAAGAGAATAAAAACATTTATGAGAAATTCAACTAGGCAAGAAAGGTTTTCACATTTAGCACTGTTGTCTATTGAGAAAGAACTGATTCAAGAAATGGCATTACAGCAACATTTCTACGACGAAGTCATTGACGAGTTTGCAAAGAAAACTAGGAGAATTCCTCTCAGTTTTAAATAGCCTGGTAAGTTATTTTCCAGCTTCCCCCTCTTCATAAAAAACCACGACACGCCACTGCCAAAGAGAAACAAGACATCACTGCGTACACCACATGGCAATTTAAAAACCAAATTAAGCCAGTGGTCAGCGCAAAAAACAGAATGTGCTTTACAAAAAGAATTTCTGCGCCGAGGAACATGAACAAAAACTTCGCCACAACGAGGAAAGGCATCAAATATATTTGCAAGAATGCAATTTAAGAATGCAGCACATGCAGGAAAAATATTATTTAGAATTGCAATTGTTGAAAAAATCTCTTGAATTAAACAAAATGTAATTTTGATATAATATATATGTAATTATAAAAAAACAATAAATCATAATAAATTTTCAAAATATTGGTTAATCAAAGTTTGTCTAACAATATTATTAACGTTGTGTGCACGGTTATCTTCAATTATGTCATCATCTATTATAGCTGCAGCAATTTCACGTTCTACGTCCTCATTTATGTCGTCTGGTGCTTCATCATTCAGTTCACAAGCTATCTTGTGAAGAACAGCACACGCTACAATGAGTGCTTGTACAGGGTTCCTATAAATGATTATAGGGTAGCAGTAGATCATGTAAACGTGCCGCCTCCCAGGTTTAACTCTAAGTGCCCAAGGGCGCATGACAAAGACCATACGCATCTGTATAACTGGTTGCCTAAATGCTGCATATCTTTTTAAAAAATAAAACTAATTCATTACAATAAAAAGAAACAAATTTATTGCGGTTAAACATCACAGTAAATATTAAAAATGTTCATCATTTTGTTCAAGAGACATGTTCACTCTCTTTTTAATTTCAATAATAATTTGTAACATCCTTTCATCAAAACTTAGGATCCGCTGTTCAATTGTTCAATTCTGCTCAAGTCTTCCACGAGATTTATCTTTGTTGACACTGCCAGTTCGAAATCTATTGATTACATCTCTAATGTGAGCCTCTAACGATGTTGAATTATTGAAAGTATTTGGCAAAATATTCTTGCTTACAACCGGTTACAAGATACAGCCACTCTTTGTTTCATTGCGTCCCATTACGATAACAAGACATAACGATGAAAGAAGTGTCTTGTTCTTGTTCAATAGAATAAACTATTTTCACAGTCTTTGCTTCCTAGCAGAAAATAGTTATTTTCCTAACAAATGTGGAAAGTCAGCGATTCCGAAACGAGAGCAGGTGTTACTGAAACGAGCGTAGCGAGTTTCGGAATCGCACTTCCCGCGCGCGTTAGGAACAATGTTTTTCCTAACAGCGTCTGTTAAATCTTTCAGCAATTAAGTTTTTCGTCAAATTTTAAATCGCAGCACATTCGAAAATCATATCGTTGAGTAGTCAAGGTATGCGAATGCAATTGTTTAAACACAAACAAGTTTTTCGCAAAATATTTGTCAATAATACCTAATCGTGTTGTGTTCTGTGTGTCCAATTGAAGATGGAAAACAAAGATTCCTCTAGCGATTCTATTCCTTCGGATATAGTTGCTGAAGCAGAGAATGCAATTCAAGACCTAATGCCGACAAAATGTAAGGACCGATATGAGAAGGCTTATAAGGAATTTTGGGCATGGTGCAATGAAAAGCAAGTAAAGAAACTTTCAGAAGTAGCTGTATTGGCGTAACAGTTGTACTATCACCGATAAAACGAAGCTGAAGTTGGATCCGAACAAAAGGAGGCAGCAAATGTTAGCAAGGTGTTTGAGATGAAAACCACTGAAGGGACAGATCGAAATGAAAGCAATGAGAAAAACATCTATATAAATTGTTCTTTTACATTTAATACAAATGGTTGTAATCATTAATCAATAAATCCTTGAAATGTACTTACATTTTACTTCCCGCACTAGTGCGGAAAAGTATCACTATCCGCACGGGTTAGCGTGCGGAAACTAGTCACTTTCCGAACGCCGTTAGGAAAACACGATTTTCGTACGCAACCAGCAAGAGTTTTGAAAACGATTGTTTTGTTGTTTTGAGCTTGGATCAACGAGAATTACCGTAACTCGCACGGGAAAAACGTTAAAACAATAAAAACGACGACTTTACATGACAGGTTACAAATGACATTAGACATTAATGTGACAAGTGAGAACTGTCATAAAGCGAATTTTCGCGACTAACTAAGTAAGTTACGGTATCTTATTACGTGTAACATTAACATTTTCGCTTTGGAAAGGTATCAGAGGAGAAGGTGTTGTGACGTCATATCGACCTTACCATGAACATACTGGCACTAACGGCCTAACGTTGCATGTATCTCGCGGTAACCAAATGTAGATCTGTCAAATGGGTCTAATGTGTTTCAAGTTTTGTTAGGTTATTTTCTTTGCCGCCTAATAAATTAATTTGCGTTCTGAGACTGATTGAGTGTTGATGGTGCAATTTTATATTAATTTGTGAAAAAAAAAATGTGTTCGTCAACAAAAGGTCAACTTATTAAAACAAGTTTTAACACTAATTAATGTCACAAGTTGCATTTTGTAGACATGATAGTTGAACCAGAAGCTAATGAAGAAGAGAACTTGGTGGAGATTTCTATAAATAGTAAGGGAGAAGACTACTCGTGTGTAGTCCCATTACATATTGCCCAGATTCTATTAAATGGTACTTTTTATAAATCTCATTTAAAGATTAGTTTATTTGTTTTCACTTCTTCCAGATCAGGAACGAGCCGATGCGTTTATCGAAGACCATATTGAAAATGTTACAAATAATGGAAACGACGACGATATTGAAAATGTTACAAGTAATGAAAACGACGACACACAACTTGCGAATGTTTGGTATACCAAAAGCAGACCCACAGTAAAATGTATGACTGCCACCAGCAAATTGTTGGAGCTTCGATTAAGATTAAAAGACAACTTTAATGGCAAAAAAACTCATAAGGAAACCTTATGGCAACAAATTGTCAAAGAAATGCGCGAAGCAGGGTTTAATGTGGACGCAAAAAAATATAAACAAAAATTCGCAAATTTGCAGAAAACTTATATTAAGTGTAAAGACCATAGGCGCAAAACAGGCACTGAACGAATTAATAACCCCCCATTTTATTTTGAGCTGGATGCGATTTTAGGGGAGAAACATAAATGTCATCCTCAAAATTTACAAGTAAAATGCACCACATTGGAGAAACTCTTAAATATTCTTGTATATGTTATGGTATTTTGCAGGACACTGAAGGTGAAGACTCCAGTACTAGCATTTATGACGATCCCACACCAAGTACAAGCAGTACTACCATGGCAAGCACTGATAGTCAAGTAAAGGTATAACTTCATTCATCAGATTTTCTAAATATGTACTGTTTGTTTACAGGAAAAGATAGGCATTAAAAATCGATTTAAGAAAGTAAAGCATGGTATTAAACCAAAAACATCCAACCAAATATATCTAGAATTCTTAACAAAACACTTACAACAAGAAGCACAGGATCGCAATCAGCATTTTGCAGCAATGCATATGCTGTTCACAGAGCAAACTCGTCAGAGAGACCGAATGCTGACAATCCTAGAAAAAATGACCAAAAAACGAAAACGCGAAATGGATTCCAGTGAAGATGAAAATTAAAACAGAAACGATTTTAAAGACAATGTTATTTCCTTCGTTAGAATTTATGTTTTGTTGTTTTTAATACATATTGTATCTATCTTTTCTTATTTTCTATAATATATATTATACATTGTTTAATAATTCTCTAGCTATTTGGTTCCTTTTGAGTTGTGCTCTTCGAGTTTCTTCATCATTGTCTTCTGCAATGAACTCTTGTACGTTAACATCTTCATAGAGCTCATCTTCCCACTGATCTTTATTCATGTAGCAAAAATTATGTAAAACGCATGCAGCAGTGGTTATTTCAATAGCTTTGCTAATGAAGTAGGTGTTTATGAATATTACTCTCCTAAATCGACCTTTAATGCGGGCAAAAATATGTTCGACCACAACACGATCAGCACTCAAATGATAGTTGTGCTGTCTTTCAATTCTATTTAAAGCTGGTCTACGCTTATAGGGTGTCATCATCCACATTTTTAATGGAAATGCACTATCTCCTAATATATGACATTCTTCATTAGGAAAATAGAACTGCGAACCATGTGTTGCAATGTTTTGGATAAATGTTGAGTTCGAAAAGACCTATAAGTTACACTTGAGGTCCAACTTCCATAATTTCAAAAATATAAATTACTCTGGAATCATGTGCCGATCCTGGGAATCCAATAAAAACGTAAGTCAAAATTTTTTCAGCAGTAGATATCACCATGGCATTAATAGAATGTCTAAGATATCTATTAACATAACTGCCATGTTGAGTATGTGGCACGACTTTTATATCTATCTGGCTACCATCAATAGCACCCAAAACATCTAAAGAAAAACATGAACATGAATCATTTTGAAATATCAAACAATTTAAAAATTTACTTGGATAATGAGTAAAACCGTTTATTACATGTTCTACCTCTTCATCAGTTCGAGGCCAAAATATGTATTTCTTCTTTATGTTTAACATAATATAAAGCAAAACATTCACTATATTCATTGCAGTTGATGGAACAATTCCAAATCTTTGCCCAATTGACAATAAACTTTCTTAGGTTGCCATATATGTTAAAAACGTAAGCAAAGCCTTCTCAGGTGGTATTGGTAAATTACCCCCGTGATATTTTTTCCTCATTAACTTATGGTTGTCATTTTCCAGAACAACATTTAATAAGTTTAAAAACGTTGACTTTTGTATTCGAAAAAACCGAAAAAACATGATGTCATGGTAATTTATTAACCAATCTTCTTCAATCGGCCCTTTGTAATATGTTTCACGTAATTTTATATACAAATTTGTGGCATTTGTTTTATTGAGAATCCAGTTACACAACAGAAGTTCATCAGCATCAAAAAAGTACTGTTCACATAAATTAATTACGCTGAGTGGCTCCATTTTCCACCAAAACTTTAATGCTGCACAGTTTTTGCAAATTGCAAGGTTATATTTTCTTACATTCTTGTCACACTTCTTGACAGTCAATCATATTACATTATTTTCGTGATAATCGTCGCAGTATGTTGATTACGTCATTGTCATTAGGTGGGGATGTTACCAGTATCATACTTTTCAGTTACAGAAAGTTAGTCGCGAAAATTCGCTTATAATGAGGCATAATCACGGGCGTAATTTCAGCGAAGCGGGATTTTTGAAATCCATGGCCAACTATGCCCTTAGAATCATTTTAAAAAGCCCTGTATTTTAGTAGACTTTAGTCTAATCCCTAAAGCAAGTACAGGAAACCTTTTTTTCAGTACGCCAAAGCATCTCTCTATAGGATTTCTGGTCCAAATGTGTGTTTGATTAAACAAATTCTCGGCCGGTGTAACCAAAGTTCGCAGTGGTGTTATTAAATAATTTGTTACGGCATAACCTTTATTCCCTAATAGAACACCATCCCCAAATTCACATTTTCAAAACGATGTTTTATTCTCGAATTAGCAAAAATATACGAATCATCTGCAGATCCAGGCCATTGGGTTACAATGTCAAGAATTTTCAAGTTTGCGTCACATATAGCTTGGACATTATAAGAAAAAAAACTTTTCCGATTTCTATATACCACACACTACCGGCAAATTGCAACCCTTAGACAAAAGTGTCTTCAAATCAGTAAAATCTAATTATAATATTGCCTGCAATGACTGGATGTTGATGCATCCGGGGAAGACTATTACGATATACGACATAGCTTCAATTTTTGGAGTTGCCTACCCTAAATCAGTCAGTCCTGAAAACATAGTGAATGGCTTCAGAAGCACGGGCATTCGGCCCTTCAACAGAAACATATTTAGTGATGACGATTTTCTTAGTTCGTATGTAACTGACCGACCAATGCCACAAATACAAGCAGTCGAAAAACAAGATCCGCAAATGAAATCGGTACACCACCCCAATACTCCTCGTCCTCTTTCCTCATCGTCTCGAGTAAACCGAACCCCAGATTCTTCAATTGGAAATGGTGAATTGTCGCAACCTACTATTGTGGAAAGTAATTTAGGATCACCGCAACCCAGCACTTCCGCGGCATCAAATTATTATTTTATTCCTTCAGATGTTAGACCTTTACCGAAAGCGGGAGAATGAAAGAAAAAACGCAAAAATAGACGTAAAAAGAGTGAAATTGTGACAGATACTCCAATATTCCCTAGAGGGATAGAGGAAAATAATGCAAAAATAACTAAGGGAAAAAAAGTAGCAGAAGTGAAACGCCAGATTATGTCACAAAGTAGTGATTCATCCGAAGCTGAAGAACAAATAGTAGTACAGTTGACGAATCCGAAGATAGTGTAGGCCTAGAAGATTTCCCCACACATGAAAATATGAATGTTGGTCAGTTTGTGCTTCTGATTGAAAATAAATTGTCATTAAGAACCTATAGCGTGGGTAAAATATCACATGTTACTGAAAAGAAAATTGTTGTCAATTACTTAGGGTTGTGCCGCGGTCAATTGACCGAGAAATTGTCGTCAATTGAACGCCATGATTTTGACCGGAGAGATTTTGACCGCGGTTTGATGCGCAATTGCACTGCGCAGTGCAACTTGCTGCATGAACAAACTTGTCGCTGCCGGTGAATGCGTGGTTTTGAAGTTTCGTTTTCTAATAGTTGTAATACAGTATAATGAGTTCAGATAGTTATAAACTTAAGCGCACAAAACCAAGAAATAAAATATGGAACTGTTTCTTGGAGTTTCGGGAGAATAGAAAGATGAAAGGGAAGTGGAAGTACTGTGAGGCGATCTACATTACACACGCTGACAGAATGTTGAAACACATCATCAAATCCTGCAAAAAAGTACACGAAAACGTGAAGAACCGATACGTAAGTTACTAACTTAATATTTCTAAATCAAACAGTCAATGCACTGATAATTTCACGTATGACATACAACATACTTACTTAATAGTGCGATTTTTGTATTTTTCAAAGTATAATATTTTAAGATTATTTTAAATGAGAGCTAAGTTTTGGTTTAGCCGTTTATAATATCATTTAAAATTGTTAATTAAATAATAATTGGCTGCTATAATAAAAGTTAGAGTTTAGCTGTGGACCAGTGATAATCTAACATTAAAATCAAATTGTTGTGGTGTGTCGTATCTAATAGAAACAACAGAAACAATAGCAATCCGTAAACAAACATTAATTTTGTGTGTAAAATCATTACAAAAATGTGCGATCGTTTTGGAATCAGTTCTGTGCACGAAATCGACAAAAATATTGCAAATCTGGTTCCCCTGAATACCCAAAAATCGAGGTCTTCAGCTTGGAAACAATTTGAGAGTTTCTGCAGTGAAAGAAAATATTGTTTAAATGGAGACACAACTATAGAAGAATTGTCCAGGATAATGAAGGACTTCGGATTTAATATGAAGAAGCTAAATGGTGAAGACTATAAAGAGGAAGTTGTAAAGACTATGTGGAATACTGTGGCTAAACTGTTGCAGAAGAAATATTACAAAGAATATAGGGTATCGTTTGATCCGTTCAAAGACGTCATATTTTCAGGCGCCTGAAAAGCACGTGACGCAAAACGAAAAGAACTCCAGCGTGATATTGATAAAAGAAAACGTAGTGCAGCTAATTTAACTCTCGAGGAACACGAGAAAATTGTTGGTCTTTGGGATGAAGAAACACCAGACGGTCTGCAACGAAAATTTTATCACATAGCAGCATGTGAACTTGCTTGGCGCGGCGGGGAAGCGGCTAAATGTTTGGTTACGTATTTCAAGGAAGAAAGAAATAATATTGGCGAGTTAACTGGACGTATAATCTACGATCCTATTTTTGAAAAAACAGCACAAGGTGGAGCCGGACGACTGTGCGAAAAGAAGTGGTTAACGAATAATCTGAAAAACTCTGATCCTTGTCCAGTTAGGTAGGTGTAATTTTGATTTTTTCAATAATTAGATATTAATGCAATTTATTTACTTACAGATTGTTTAAAAAATTGATGGACAAAAAAGGCAAAAATATTACCACTGATCGATTGTTTTTAACAGTGAATCCCTTATGGAAGAGTGCACATTCTGTTGGATTCTTTAAGAATTGCCTTATTGGAAGAAACCAAATTTTTACATGGACTAAATCTGCTGCCCAGAAAATAGGATTGGATACGAAGAAAATTAAAATCACAAATCACTCCAATCGATCTACTGTGGTTTCTTGTTTAGCTAAAGCTGGTGTGGGAGAGCATCAAATAACTAAAATTACTGGACATTCTAGTACCTCTTCAATTAAATCTTATTTACAGCTGGATAGCGACCATCATGTTACCTTAGTTGATTGTATGAGGCAAAATGAACAAGAAGAAACAGTAGGAGATAAGCCAGAGGAAAGTAAAAATTCCAAATATGTATATAACAATTGTACAATCAATAATTATTATAAATAAATTCTGTAAAATTATAAAATTGTGAAATTCGTTCATTAAGAAAAATTACCAAAAATTATCGGTAATTGCACTAGTGCAAAATTATCGCCTAATTCGATTCTGATTGGTTGATTTATTTAAATTCAAGGCTTCTTATTGGCTTACATGATGTGCGGGAAATAGTCAATCAAATTTTATAGGGTACAACGATATTTCCTAAATTATACCAAAAATTTCATTCCCAAATACCATATATCTCTAACCACTTCCGTTAGAGTTAATCACATAGGTTAATCACAATAATATAATTAAGCAAATCGAGTGATTCAATTAATGCAAATTTGTTAAAAAAAATATTGTCGTTTTTACGTTACTTTGCCAAATTTATTTAATTTTACAAGCAATTTACTGGCTTGTACTCTGGTAAATACAAGTGTTTTCGGACCTCGTAAAGCTTGGGTTTCCAAGGGTAGCGGTACCGGAATATAGCGGCCGTAATGTGGCGGTGAATGACGTCACATAAAACGTGCACATACATTCAAATCTGCTTGGATTTTTAGCTGACGGTGAACGTCACCGCTCTACTACAAAGCGGCACCGTCATGTTTTTGGCGGTCGCTAGTACGGCAGCAAACACTTGTTGCAACGTTTTTGTGCTTGTGCGGTGGTAAATTTCTTTTCCCAAGATGTCGTGGAGCAGTGAACAGGATGAAATTCTGATTGATTTTGTCAGAAATCACGAGATTATTTTCAATGTAAAATGCAAAGATTATCGGAAGGCCCAATTGAAACAGAATCTTTGGGCTGAGATCGGTCAGACATTACAAAAAACAGGTACGTAGATATATATTTTTTATTAACATATCTGTTTACATATTAATGCATAAATATTAGATGAAGTATAATCCGGACGTTCAATGCTGTCTGTAATAATTATTCTGCCACTCGACAGCGCCTGCTCCATTAAAATAATTTTTGAATAGTTCACGAATTTGTATTGGTGAATGTGGTGCCCGAATGTTATTTGCTACCAGAGGAATTAAGTTTTCTTCAGGTAGTGGAAGCGGATCATCAAAATTAACTTGATTAGGAGCAAGAACCTTGGATTCTCGTAAAATATTATATAAAATGCAGGCACAAGTAATCAACTTGGCGGTAGTTTTTGGAGCAGTGGCGATCGGCTGGAAAAAAATTCTAAAATAGCCACATAATATACCAAAAGTATTTTCAGTTGTTCTCCTTGCTCGAGATAGTCGATAGTTATATACAGCTTTCAATGGATCAATTTGTGATTGCCTTCTCGGATAAGGTTTCATCAAATTTGCATGTAAAGCAAAAGCCTCATCGCCAACAATCACATGTGGTACCACATCACCTGTTCCCGGCAGTGTTTGTGGTGGAGGAATATTAAATGTGTTATTAAGAATGTTTTTTCCAAATGTACTCTTCAAGTAAATTCCTGCATCTCCTTCTCTACCATAAGAACCTATGTCTACTGCTACAAATTTGCATTCTGCATCTACAATCGCTAGCATAACTGTTGAATAATATTCCTTGTAATTGAAGTAGGTGGATCCACTGTTTTTGGGTGCCTTTATTCGTATGTGTTTTCCATCTATGGCTCCAACACAATTTGGAAAATTCCAAGTAGACATATAAGTATTAGAAATTCTTCGCAAATGCTCCATTGTTGGTGGTGGCATAATTACATTAAACAAGTTATTGATAATGCTGTTCGCAACTTGTCTTATAATGAAACTGATCCATGAATGGCATATTCTAAATTGAAATGCCAATGATCTAAATGACTCTCCAGTTGCTAAATACCTGAAAAAAAAGTTGGGCTGTTAAATAAAAAACAATTCTGCTTATAGCTGTCGACTGCTGCAAAAGGTGGGCTTATATAAGGGACTACTACATAAGACGAAGAGGAAAACCAGGCACTGGTTCAAGTGGTGATGCAGCAAAAAAGAGGTCTGATTTGCTGTCATTTTTAGACAGCTATTCAGTAATAAAAGCAAGGTTTGTAGAGTCTTGAGGTACTACTATTATACTTAATACTATAAATTTTAGCACAATTACTAATATCCCTGGTCGTGAGGTTGTTTCTGTTACAACAGAAGATACGGACACCGAAGAAAGTCAAGCTACACAGGAGTCAGTGGATAATGAAGTAAATTACGCAAACGATGGTGCCGAAAATGACCTGCTTCAGGAAGCAGATGAGGACCGCGACCGCTGGAAAACTGTGCCTAGTACGCCGCAGAAATGTAGGAAGAGAAAAAGTTCTGATGAACGGTTGCAGTTGCTTAAAAAAATAGCTGAGAGACAACCGACACCAGCAGTTGCAGAGAAAGATGAAACAGAACTTTTTTTTGTTCTATGGCAAAGATTGTAAAAAAGCTTCCACCATATGATCAGGCACAATTAAGGATGCATATTGGAACATTGGTCGGTAATGCAGAGTTAAAATATTTGGAGCAGCAGAGTCTAATAAGTCCTTATCACAGTCCATCGACATCAAGAGCAAGTGCCAGTAGTTGTGGTGATTACTTTTCCAACGCATCATTTTCCCCTGATGAGTCAAATACATTTACGCCACTCTAATAAAAAATAAAAATGTACCTACCTTATAAATAAACTTAGTTTTTGTTCAGGCGATATTGGCTTCTTATTTCTATTGCATGGTTTTGACGTAATATCATCTTTGATGTAGTTTAGAACGTAATCAAACAACACTGGAGTTAAGCGAAAATATTGCCTGAATTTTTCTTCGTTGCAGTGCAGGTGACGACAGATTAAAATTTCATATGCACCTTCTGTTGCACGGTTTTTGAATATATCAGATTCTTTTGAACGTTTTGACTCCTCTTCTGATGACTCTTCATCCTCCAAGACAATTAATAGTGCCAAGTCTAGATCATCCATCATTATAAAAAGGAGGACCCGGGGTGGGTTAGTTAGCATCATGCTTGCCCGCTACACCTTGGGTCGTGGGTTCGATTCCCGCCATGGCTCTGGGTGTAACGTGTATGTCCCGTTCCCCTGTAATTGGGCCTCGGTGCCTGTTGGGGGACGTAATGGAATAAAAATAAAAATAAAAAAAAAAAATAAAATAAATCAGAACACTCCGAAGAACATAGGGAAATAATTTTTAAATTAATTACGGACCGACACCGTCTTGTTAGTTTACATCAGTGGTCACCGTCACAACAACCGTCTTTTTGGTCAACGCTACGTGACGTAGTTCACCGTCATATTACGGCCGCTACATAACAGTACCGCTACCCTAGGAAACCAGAGCTTAAGACTGCGGGACACAGTTTCGCGTCCTACAACAACCAACTTTCTTCATCGTTCCGAAAACCAACATTTTTTGTACTAATTAAACGGTATGTTGGGAAACTTTCAACTCCCCGATAATTTTTTTACATTACATTTTGCTTGTACAAGCTGGTTTCCTTAGAATTCATAATGCTCCCAATCCAAGTGAGCCGGTTTTATAGTACTCATTATTCATTGTCAAAGAATTGTAATGCACAAAATAAATTTTATAACCTCAAAAAACTGTTTGCAACAAAACACCACCAATTAGACCTAATACTATCAAAAACATTTACAGACTTACGTAATCTCATGAATTCAGCCAAGAATACTCAGGGCACGGAAGCTTTCCAAGGCGGAGCTGGAGAGTGTTCGGATCACCGCCAATCAGGCATAGTCACAAGTTTACACTGAAGATGTTTAACACAATGTACATTAAACTTCTGTTTACGCTTTCTTCGCTAAGCCAGAGGAGGAAATTTGCAACTATAAACCGTTTTATCACGAATATGTGCAAGTTGTGCAACTATTCCGTCGTGTGCAACAAGTCATACGAAAACCATGCGAAAACTCTTTCAGCAGAACACAACAAGTAACAACACAGCTACAGACACAGCCACGAACAACAAAACCAGCATGTACGAACGCGCACGCGGTACTAACCATAGAATACCCTCACTATAGAATACGATCTCCAATGCTTGTATGTTGTTCCTAATGAACGCCTCTACTGGTGTGGTACGGAACTAAAATCGGCGCCAAATTTGAAAGGGAATTTTGCTAATAGATTTTTTTTTATATTTAAAGGGAAAACATTGTTTGTGCATTTTTATATGTTAGTTTCAAAATGCCAAAATAGGCTTTGAAACCAACATATAAAAAGACACAGACACAAACAGTACAATAAAAAATGTGGAATATTTTCCAAACAATATATTTAACCGTAACATTGAATAATTAATGAAAATACTACTACAAATAACAATAAAAATACCATAATATGACAAAATTCTAAAAGTACCAAAAAGTCAAAGAAAACAGTGCAAAATAAAACAGCATAAGAAAATATTTTGAACAGAAATCGCATGATAAACGAGATAATGAAACTGGCTTGCCCTGATAACTTACATTTGTACTTTTATTTAAAATAATAGAACAAATAGTACATACCTATATACACACCTAATTATTACCTATATACAACTTAATAAAAGTGTGTAGATTTTTAAAATGCAAGTAAAAAACATGTATTTGTTGCAAGCAGAATATTCTTAACAAAATAGCCACTACATTAAAATAACAAAATAAAGTCTGAGACTTTTTAAAACTAAATTAATTTTTAATCTCCCATCAGTAGAAACGCAAACTGCCTTTGCACTTTTTGTTCATACCTTAAGAAATGTGACAATACAATCACTTTGATAACATAACAATAGGTTAAAGATTTAGACAACTCAATGAAAATCTGGAGATTGCAATTTCGACCTCCTTAGGTATCACAGTACAATATATCTCGGTGGTAATGTTCGAATATTTAACCTCATATAGCCATCATTTTCTTCTGGTATGCACAAAACAAAGCTGATTAATAACCTGCAAAATGCAAAATTATACAAATGTTCTATTTTCTTTTAAAACGTAAATATAATTTTTGCATTTCTGTCTCCAACGAAATTGATCTGTTCGGTTCTTGCCTACCAAATACTATATTACTCAGTTTTTTCATGTATCCAAAGATAAACACTCTTACAAATAAATGGAAAAGTTTAGTTTTTAGTTCTTCGGTATGCAAGCATTCCTGAAAATCAAAATCAATTGTAGTTCGCAGGTGGCTTATAATCCTTCTAGAAAGAGAAGAATGATAAATTGCAGACGGTAAAAGAATGCGCAGGTGATTATGAGTCTCAATCAGAGTTTTAATCACCCCCACATTCGTATATTGTAACCGTCTGTTTTTATCATCGTACTCTTTCTTTTCCACCAAGCCATGATACTGTATATCTGGATCCCCATCGTGCTTTAAGTTAGATCGACAGATTTCACAGCCAAGTGGTTCTTTTGACATATGTTTGACTAGAAATCCGCTTATGTAGCCTATAACATTCTGGTCATAAAGTTTATCCTTCGTTACAGTATCAGGAACTGGTGGCGGTTTCCACTGATCTTCGACACATTTCCGATTTATTTGAAGACCAAGAAACTCCCGAATTGTGATCACAAATGAGTCCTCATCTTGTTCACAATTAGAGCCACGAGAATGATAGGAGCAAAAATTCTTCATCATCAATGACTTATAAAATGGCACGAATGCTCGACAAGTAGGATTTGTATATCGTCCTCCATATTGTCTTATTTGACCAAAAAAATTTTCCAACGGATCTTGGTTAAAAGCTCTTGCTGGGAAAAAGTTATAACCAAGTTTCGTTAGAGTTTCCTTGATAATCATAAAACCATTTAAAGTACGATACCACCCCTGTAAAACTGGGGGTTTTGCTCGGTCTCCAGCTTTACGTGGTACAAATCTCATGTTGCTGAACATGCGTTTCCCTTCTAGCCAACAAGTGTGATGGTAATTTTTAACTCCTACCAATTTACGTAAGTTCTTACCACCGCAGTCTCCAAATCCTCCATTAACACTGTCAAAGACAGAATCCATGAACATAAACAAATCGGAAGTGTATTGAGCATCAGGCGGCAGGATTCCCCCAAATGTCCGGCTGGAACAGAGATTTATGAAAGAAGAAACACTACGGCTAAAGACCTGTGAAGCATAACGAACTTTCATTTTTTTGCCTCTTAAGTTAGGCTTCACATGGTCTATGGTGATCTTTGGCATCATTCTTAGGTTGTCACCCAGCGTCTGATCTAATCCATATGCCTTTTCAAAAAAACTCCAAGAAGCTCTTCTCTCCACACCTGCTTTATCTACATAAAGCAGATCTTTGGTGAGAAGATTGTTCCGCATACTTTTTAGAAGATGAGGAGGATCAAAGAGAGGGACAACTTTGTGATCACCAATTTTTATCACATTCTCTTCAGTTTCCTCTTCATTTTCTAAAATAGCACGTCGCCTGGTTTCCTGCAAAAGTATATCGATTGCAGCACTGTTTGTAGTGCTTTGATCACAAACCGAAGCAATGATGTTTAAGCCTATCGCTGTTGCTTCTTTCACAATCTCTTTATAAAAACGGACAATGTTTACGGCAGCTAAAGAACTTTTACAAAAAGCAAAAGCAACAGGTTGCTTCCACCTTCCAAAAATTCCTCTAAGCATAAAGACGCAAACATGGTCTGCAATTTTTTCCGTCCTTGTTGTACCGTCATCTTCAAAACCCACAACTCTGTCCTCACAAGGCAAGTAGTCAAGGTGAGGCTGTATGGACATCTCATCGAAGATGAGAGTACACAGATTGTACTTGGGGTCCATTTTGCGACGTACTTGCTTTCCGAGAACTTCGAATATGGGTTTGTTGATACCCGGTTCTATTGGAACTCTATTTAGGGTTGCCCTCAGAGTGTCAATAGACGGCAACGTAAACATTTTAGACAGAAGTTTGTACGTCTTCGGGCCATGTTTCCATATGGCAATGGCGTCTGCCTTTTCCTCAAACGTAAAACTCCTGCCTTTTGGTTTACGATTTACGTTCCTAATCTGATTTTCGAAAAACCGCTGCTGAACAGGAGTCAACCCTTCTACGAGATCAACCAATCGTTGATCCCGAACAAATTTCCTTGCGGACTGTAGGTCATGTCTCCGCTTTTCAGCCTGCTTTTGCAAGCGGCCTACTTGTTTTTGCAGGCGTTTTGCTTCTCTGTAGAGTTTTACTTCGTTAGACGTAAAATTGGTCGTTGTCCGCTGTTTTACGCCTATGCGCTCCAAAATTTTACCTGCAAATGTACACAGGTATTAATTAATTGCATCATTTTTACTTTATGTACAGTTCTGTTCAATGAAAATTATGTTACATGCAGTTATAAGTTTCTTTAATATCTTTAAACAAATTATGCTTATCGTTATTAGCTCAAAATTAGATAGACAATCAAAAATTATTAGTAAACGAACATAAGAGTTTTCATTAAATTAAAATACATACGTGGAGTCGTTGTAGTTCTCAGAGAAACATCCCGGGTCTGTCTAAGTGGTGTACTTCTGCTTCCAACAAAATCTAAAAATAAGTAATAAATATTTGTTATTGAGACTAATAATATTTTATTTTCACTATTTTTAAATTCACAAAAATACATATTTAAAATCACACGGTGAAAAAAAATACTCCTAACGTATATCAATATACCTTAAGTTACGCCACTGCTTTTTCACCTATTTGACACATGACATATGCGTGACATATGGTTGGTAGAAACGCGAGATGACGCTATGCTGTACCACAGATTGTTTTATAAACACGTGATAAAGTTTAACAATCTACCACATTTTTATATGTTGTAATCGTTTGAAAATTTGTTTTTGGAATTACGAAATTATGGTATCAAACTTTGCAGTTTCTTACCGATTTTTGAATTACTTTGTAGCCCTGAAGGTCCAGCGCAAGGTAGCTCATTGACCCCATTCTCCTCTGTAAGTCATAATATTATTTTTTTTGCCATTTATTTTTTAGCATTATAATACCTCCAAAATTCAGTTGTCGGGCTTGAATGCCACTATTCCGTATATTTCTACGCTCCGGTGTAGTAGTTGAACCTATAAAATGGAAAACCGTTCATGTTATAGTAAAACACTTGTAATATTTACATACTTTGAGAATGTGGGGTTCGTCGAATACGTGGCGATAAATTCGCCATGGAGTAGAAATCAGGGCATTCCTTCCTTGGGGTCAGGAAGATGAGATCAGTTGTCTGGGGCACTACAGTGGACGCATCAATTTTACTTGCCTCCAGTGGTGATGTAAGTAGAGTATCATCTGTAAGTACACATGTCTTAATATTTGTTTCGTAGTGACTTTCAATTTGTTTTTACCTCGAGGAGGCAAAATCGTTGGTACCGCAGATTGATGCAGCCTTTGTGTACCTTGGACATAGTCTTCAGCCCGAAAATGTTGGTAGCAAATGTACCCTCTCCGATAAATTTGGTCATTTGTTAAACCCTCGAATTTTGGGTTATTGGAGGCTTTAACCCATGCCATAAACCTATCTAGACCCCGTTTCGGATGTGGAAACCTAAATATAGGGGCCATCCTGTTCCCACATTTATAAATTGCACAAGTTTTGTGCGTTTTTTGTGCTTCCATTCTTTTTTCTACAAACATTTGTTATAATAATGCTATAAACAATGAACATAAAGTGAAAACATTTGTATACTTACATTTTTTTGTACACTACACAACACAACAGCTACAAAATGCACTTAGCAACACGATAAAAATAAAACTGTTGTGTTTCTTTGGTGGTGTGGGGGTGTTAGGGGAAAGTAGGGTTTTCTATGGTACTAACTCTTTCCAGCGTTGCCAGACCGCTGTTAAAATCCGCAATAGATGGCAGCACTAAGAAATAAATAACAAATCTTGGGAAATGACAATAAGCTTTTTAATAATGATAATAACAATAATAATAATAATAATAATCTAATCAATGCATATCATTACTTGGTCTTAGTACCCGTAATGACAGAAGTCTTGCCTGAATGCCGGTCATTTCCGGGTCAGTGGTGGGTCTTAATAATAGATTTATTTTCAGCGGGTTCGCACCCAATTAAAAGAAATATATAATATTGAACTAAAAAAAATGCAAGGAAAATGAAATCTAACTAAGCTAAAAAATACTAACAAAGAAAAAAGAATGCTTAACTATTTAGTTTCACGTAACTTAATTATACAATTAAACAAATAAATGTTTCTCAGATTCAAAATAAATATCACATTTTTCAGAAATTAAGTTAAAATTACATAACAACGAGATGGAATGATAAATTTTGTATGTTATCTCTACCACCTTTTTTATGGACGGGACAAACATATGATTTCTTCAAAGTAGTCAGCGTTTGGGAAGTATTTAATATTAAACTAAATATATGAAAAAGTGGTGTAGAGAAGATTGAAGCACAGTCCCTTAACAGAAAGCTGGGAACTTCATCGACGGCAGCTGTGTATTTTTGGACTTTAAAAAATTTTCTCCAACCAAAAATGTGTAACTACAAGTGAATGAAAAAAGTTTGAGGTGGTAAATTAACAACTGGATTAGAGATGATATATACACTATTAAAATAATCACCAAAAGCATTAACGATTGACTCAGGAGTGCAGAATTCTTGATTATCTGATGTCGTAACAGCAGGAATAAAGCAGATTGAATATCCGACAAATACTGTTTATAAGCTGAAGATATTAAGACTTTGGATTGAGAACGATAGTATTTAAATAAGTTATAATTACTAGAAGAGTTGCATTTTTTGAAATTCTTCAATGCATTGTGGTAACCCAAACTTCCCGCCTTAAATTGACCTTGAAAAAGTTTGAAAGGCCCGCGAAAGATTCAAAAATTTAAATTTGGCCTTGGCTGTGATCGTCTTACAAAATGGAAACCTACGTTGTGTCTTTTTTTTCTTTCAGCGCAAGAAATAATAAACAAAAATTTGGGAGGGGCTAAAATCGCACCCCTCCCTAGGAGGAAAAGACGCGACGAGCGAAAGTGATTTGGACATGACCTTCTGGCGGCCCAGGAGGGCCGAGTCGCGATCGTTCTTCATCTCCAAAAACCCCCTAGGGCTATATTCACCGACATATTACATTTCAAATGAAACACCGTAAAAATATGAAAGAAAAGACACTTGCGAATTGACAGACATCCTCATATGAAAACCGAACAAACACAAAATCCTACACATGTTTTTAAATTTGAAATTTAATAAAAACAAAGCAAAATCTGAAACTGGATGCAAATACACAAGTTATTACGGGCGTGTGGTGTCAAATTTTAAAGTTACGGCAGTTAACAGGAGCACAACAAAAATATCCCTGGGGCGTTCTAGCACAAGCAGAGTTTGGGGCTCCCGGTCCGGGCTGACAGCGTCACGTCGTCCAGACCGCTCCCACTGACTCTATACAAAGCCTGCACCCCTTGTGCAGATAGCACGACAAATCCCGCTAGGCTCCACTACGAGCTGCGCTAGGCTTCTGCTACGTGTTTCGGTGTTATTTAACCTCACTTTCATTTTAAATGTTCGATCTCTTATAACTCTGTTGTTAACAATCACTGAACAAGTGTTAAAGTTTCAACGAGCAATAAACAACATTTCAATTCGCCATACAATCTTGTGGAATTTTAAACAACAAATAATTCTTATGTGAGATTAAAATTGGACATCAAATAATTTATACGGTATACATTCATCAACAAAATATTTACAAAACAAAACTTAGCAAAGATTTATAAAAACAAAAGATCTGGTGTGAAATAAACTTGTGCAAATAATAATATTATGTGAGGTTAAAACTGCAGAGCATGAAATTTACGTTCAATGAAAATTATACAAGAAAGGAAAAATACTGTAGTTAAAACTGTGAGATTGAGAAATATTGTATGAGGTGAAAATTTGCAAAGTTAAAAAATTTACATGAGGTTAATAATTGCCACATAATTACCACACTTTATCAACGATTCAAACAAAAAGTTTACATTATGTCAAATTATGTCATGATCTAAGTGATTGATTACTTCAAAAAAAAAAATTACTTTGAGAGTTTAGAATACCGCGAAGTAGTTACCCCAATAAAACACATAATAAACAGACAAATATCCAATCATCGTTGCGAGGACATACCTCGATGAAGTAATCAATCTGTAGCGTTGTGAGGACATGTCTCGATGAAGTAATCAATCTCTAGCTTTGCGAGGACATGCCTCGATGAAGTAATCAATCTGTAGCGTTGCGAGGACAAGCCTCGATGATGTAATCAATCTTTAGCGTTGCGGGGACAAGCCTCGATGATGTAATCAATCTTTAACGTGGTGAGGACATGCCCCAGTGATGTAATCATGATAACGACGATAATAACGATGATAACCACTTAAGGGAAGAAATTGTTTTAACCCCCCGCCAGTTCGCAGTATAATGAATTTTGTTTAACTGCCATAAATGAACTATTAGCAATCTTGTGTGAAGAATTAAGAAGTGTTTTAATGTAACACTTACGTATATGCATCCAGAAACCTATTCGTAATTAAAGAACAAAGGTGTTTCCTGACTACGTAAATTTTATGAAGTCTTCTAGCAAGTGGTTTATTTAAATAATCCTGATTGTTAAATTGTGTTTGTACTAGCTGACGATTAAGAAAAACTAACTTGATTGGTGAATTTACAAACAATAAAACAAATTTACAGCACGTGTTTCGCGTTGAACAGAAGTCCGCACTTTTTAGATTAAAAGGCCGCAAGAATTAGCCGTGCGGGTTGGGGAAAACTGAGCGACGTCGGTTACGATTAATTGTCGTTAAACAAAGGCTTCCTGCCTTTTATTAACTACCAAACCAGCTAATTTAAACCTAGCTCCTTACAGCGTCATTTCTTCTTTTCACCATGCATCCACTACACCGAACAGAAAGAGAATGAATCATGCTTTCGACATGCCGCCTTCTCTCTACCAACCAACCAACCAACCCTCTAACTAAAATCCCCCTAGCGCTACCTACTATCCAACTATTCTGCAAGCGTTACCGTGCACCTGATTGCCTATGTTTAACGATTTCTTTTTTTTGTGATTGAATTTTTTTTTCAAATTCAAATTATTCAAATGTGACTTCGCGCCGCTGTTAATTAATTTCAGCGCGAAAATTTTGATTTAAATTCGGTCACCACAATACATATCTTGATTTTAACTTATAATGGTTTTCATAAAAAATAGAATTTGCATAATCAAATTTTATGATTTTTCGAAAAAGCTGGATATGCTTTATTGTATTTCAGGGGCGAGGGAAGTTCTGTCGAAATAACTTTAATCCAGTTTTTATATAAAAACAAACACAAAAATATATTTTTGATTATTATTATTATTATTTAGTTTGTTATTGTTTTATAATTTCAAATATGTTTGGTTGGTTATGTAACTAGTAATACACATTGTGTACATTTGGCGATATTTTATTAATTTTGCAATGTAATGCAGACAAAGCCCACAGATTTGTTAAGTATTATTGCAATGCTTTACTAGAATAATAATTAATTATTAATAATAATAATAGTAACTCTTATACATTTTTTGGGAGAGGACAAACCAAAGACTTTGACAGTCCTTTTTATTACTGCGATGTTAAAATTTTCAGTTATTAGAATACTAATATGTAAGAGACGCTAAATGTTGTTTTTTTTCAATTACAGTAGACGCCGCTTAATATGATCACGGTTAATGTTATCAACCGCTTAGTGTGATCAAAATGGCTTGGAACGGGCCCACGCAATACCAATGCATTACAGTTTTTCCGTTTATTGTGATCAATATTTCGCTTATTGTGATCAATCTCGCAATTCTTCTACAAGCGGGAATTGCTTTTTAGGAGAAGCGAGACGACTGAAACTAGCATTGTGTTTTAATGAACATTCATTGCTCGCAAAAGGTACATTCGCTTATAGTACTCACTTTATAGACCCACAATCAGTGACAGATTTTAGTAATCAGTGCGTTTTCGTCTTTTGAATGAACGAATTTTTTTTGTTTTAAATTTGAGTAGTACTTATGTAAAAATGGGCACGTCAGAACGATGAGATCTCGGCTTATCAGAGGGAAAAAAAATCTCAGCCTTTTCTTAACAAATTTCTAAAATAACCAAAGGAAATCAAGAGTTCTTTTCTCAGAATGATAACCATAATTAAAAATAAATTCTAATATTTATGTACCTTCATCTACCAGCATAATGAACACTGTCTTGTTCATGATTTTGCTTTGTTTCAAGTTTTACTGTCTCTGATGGTGGTTTTCGCTTATTGTTATCAGTCGGTTAGTGTGATCAATTTGTCCAAGTCCCAAAGTGATCACATTAAGCGGCGTCCACTGTATTTGATTGATTTTCAGTTCATGATTGCCAATAGGATAAACTGAAAGCTCTTCATTTCTGCCTTGGAAGTTTCAAACTTACGCGAACTAATAAATAATCTTTTTTTTGTAGATTAACCATATCTAATTTTTCACGCTAATTCAAACAAGAAAACTGCTTTCGAAGTTCTATTGACTGCATTTTTTTTAAATTTGATATTAAGAGGAAGCTCTGGAAGATGTAAAAGACGTAGAGCGTAGTTTAATTATCTTTTAATGTCACTGTCATTGCCACAAATTGCGGTTAATCTAATTAAATTTCGCCCTACCTCTTTGACATTTTTTCTTTCAAGAGTTTCCCTTTATGCCCAATTTAAAAAAATCATACGGTATGTGCTTCCAATTTCAGCAAAGTATTATTCGTTGCATATGCTCTTTATTTTCAAGCGTGCTGTATAACTTGGCAACGTCGGTTACCTACCATACATTCAACAACTCTCGTTTTACACTTCTTGATCATGCGCAGTTCTTTGTTTAGTGACCATAATCGTTTTGACCACGTGCGTGTTGGCGGCTGACAGTGTGGCTGACAGTGCTGACAGTCTTGTGTTTGATGGTGCTGGAAACAGCTATGAAATGAATTTCGTGTGTGAAATTTAACAAAATGGTGTGCGGCCTAACTAGTTATTTGTTGAGCACTTGCAGGGAATACGTTGAAAAGGTAAGTGTCATTATTGGCTTTTATTACAAGGAAATAAGCAAACATTGTTCATTGTCGTGTAAATAATTGATCGGGATTATACGGTCCTATCAGTGGCGGCTTCTGAGTTAAAAATCTGGAGGTTACAACTTTCATGCCTAGGTATATTATAGTAGAAAGTAAACGAACGGGCAACATGATTAATCAGAGTAGAAAACTGAACCTATGTTAAAGTTTTTTCATGCCTCCGTCCACTATTGAGGCTTTTGGAGCATTCAAAATCACCTAGAAATACGCATCTTGTTGTCTAGAGCAGGGTTGTGGTTTAGGCCGTCAAAAATGTCACTAAACGCAATTTTCCATTATTTTTTAAGTGTCGTCAACTTGTCAGTCTTGAATGCACTTGAATGTCACAAAATCACAAAAATTGTCAATTATTCTGCCATTTAAAATATACTATTCGTATGAAACAAATAATTCCCGCGAATGTAATAATGAGAAAATCAACGTATGTAAGTGTTAAATAAAACCAGTGCATAAATCTGGTGTAATTTCTCGGCATGCAGCACGAATTCTATCTTTCAAAGTTTCCATCTCTGGAAACGGAGTTTCATATACTTTATTTTTAAAAGTTCCCCACAAAAAGTTTGTACTCCAAAAGGGGTACAATCAGGACTACGAGGTTTACGGGGGCCAATCCACCTTTGTGGACATTCTTCATTCAAATAGTCTGTGACATTATGCGCGTAATACAGTGGGGCGAAAAAACAATTTAACAGCAAATATTTATATTTATTTGCTCCTATAATATTGACGATGGATACTTCAACACGTGACAATTATTGTGAAAAATTTGGGACGTTAAACTTGATCATCTTTAGGTGGCGCAGTTTTTATGAAATATTCCTTTTTCGTTTCAAATTTTGGAGTTTTTGCCGAGACAAAACACGAACTCTGATAAATCCACCTCGTTTTTTGGGACCTAGAACGCTTGTAGAAGCATCTGTAACCAACTTAATATGGCTCTTTACAAACTAGGTATGGCAAGGAAATTGTGAAATTTTTACTTTTGCATTATTTTTGATGAGGTTATTTAATTTAAACTTAATTTGATATTGTGTAGTAATTGGTTTGTGTGTTCTAATAATTTTGTGCAGCAGAGTTGATTTTTGGCACCGTGAACGAACGTATTTCTAGAAGTCTTGAGGGATGAGATAATTTCATTTCATTTCAACCACACTAAGAAAGATATTTTATGAGTGTAGAGACCCCATTTCTTTGCATCACTGAGTCCACTAAAGTTTTTAGATCATCAGGCAAATATTGCAACTTTTGAAACATTCCCAGAAAATGAGAGGAACCATCTGTGATACAGTATCTCACAGTTTTCCAAAAGAATACAATACTGTAATTTTTAGTATTACACTGTACCAATCCAAGTTGATATACGAGTCCTTGCAAAAACGTTGATAACGTCATCACAAAATTGTGTAAAGAATAAATTCAACTCGAAAATGCTGGATAGATTTTATTGCACTTCAGGAACGAGGGAAGTTCTGTCGAAACAACTTTGGACTCCAATTTTTTTGTTTAAGTTTCTAAATCTTCTCAATCTCTTTTATTTTCTAATCATGCAACACCATAATTTTCTGAGTTAATTTATTGTCCATGGATCGCAACACCAAATGTTCATGGTTTCTATGATTCTTTAAGAATTTTCTGTAGGATATAGGAATTTTGATCTTACACTTATCTTATTAGGTGCCCTAAACACGAAGCAAAAAGAGTTTGTTCTTGTTTTAGGCACATCGACTTTAATAATAATAATAATAATATGCTTTATTATGCTTAAATTAGAGATCGATAGATAGATCAGCAACATGTCCACCCTTTCGTCGTTGGAATACATTTTGATATTGCAAAACTTTTTCAAAAAAAGGATTTGTCGAAACCGCTGTCATCTACATTGTCAGGGGTGTCCAGATTTCATGATAAATAAACCTGATCAAAGATATCAATTGAGAAAATTGTATGTTGGGTTGCATTTAAAGTTCGTCATGATCGGAAAGTTATGTGAATCACCCTGTTTAAACATGAAAAAATTTAACGTAAGCAAAATGTACAGTTTTTATATATTGTTGAACCACTCTTGTGATTGATAGAAGATTCAATCTTGTCTTCATTTTTAGTAACACTATTTACGCTTTCGCTTTGTAAATGCGTTACGATTTCATTATGATGTTCCGCATCCAATTGCAAATATTGCTTGATACTGTTATCACTGGAATGGCCCGTCATCTTATCGAGAGTTTGATCTTGTACTCCAGCTTTTGAAAGATGTGAAACGACTGATGACCGATGGGAATGATTAGCGACCAATATTTGTCTTTACTCCTAGTCTCTTTGCGGCTTCCCTTGTCCATTTTGTTGTCGTGTTTCTCTCAATGGGTGTGTTCTTATACCAAGCTGAATCATTCGTACAATTCCAATTCGGATTTGATGTTATAAAGAGTCTGTTTGTAGTTATCTTTCCACTTCGTTTTGACATCAGTTTTTGAAACAGTTTAAGAAAAAAATTTTGTAATACATAATTGTAAAATTAATTCTAAATATTCCTACCTTACTGGTCAATGGTTGATGTTTTTTTGGTTTCTTTGTAACCATTTTGAGTCGGTCAGCTTCTTGCTTCCCCCCTGCGCTCTCTTTGAAAGGATGGAGTTGTATTCAACTATTTCTGTTCTTGCGCCTTTATGGTCAAATTCCACATTAAAGTAGCTAACTAGACATAGCGTTCCTTCTCCTCCACGCCAAGCCAGTTCGTCAGCTACGATATGAAAAAAATTCTTTTGCAGACCATCCGGGGTATTTTCATCAAAAAGATTGAATATTTCTACTACTTTTGATTTGGTAAGAGCAGCAGAACTGTTCATGCCCATATGAAATTTGAGTTGGTTTTTATTCCGGGATATTTTGAGTCCTTTGGCAATTTGTGGATCATAAAATATCAAAGCACAGAGCTGTATAAAGTGACTGATTAACAAGAACGGCAAATTGTGTTCTACTAAAAACATTATCAACTTCAGTTGAGCTACTTTGATGGAGTCATTTAATTTGTTGTTATTTTGACCATCTGAAATCAATGTCAATACCGATGGTGTACTTTTTTTTTTTTCTTTAATTCTTTTGATGAAATTCCGACTTATGATGCTTTCCCAAATGGGTTACTCCTCGTGTTAATGGTTTTACGCACACCGTGCAAAATAAACGTTCGTTTTTGTAGGGAACCCATGGATATTTTACGTTATATTGAGGTTTAAATTTTTGTCTATATAGTTTTCGTTTTTTTGGCAGAGGTACCGTATCTTCAACTACATCTCGAGTGCCGGTGCCGGCAACGTCACTCCCACTGCTGTTTTCTTCATTTTTGTCATGTACAGCTGATGGTTGCTGAATTTGTTTGGTTATAAACCTATGAAATAGTTATTTACATTACAAGTGTCGAAAGTAGCAAGTATCGCACGAGTGTGAAAAACCCAGGGAGTGCGATATTTGCCACTTTCGCACAAGTTATGTACACTATTTTTCCCACGACCACGGCAGAGCGCATTTTTTTTACAAAAAGTTATTATTATTTTGCCAAACCACAGTGGTCCTGAGCATGGAATACTGGGTCCACAAAGTGTTTGGCTTTAACTTCTCACCCAGTTCGCCAAAATATGCAACCAAGACATTTACCGAGAATGAGGAAGTGATATTTTTCGTTTGCCGCCAGCGCATAAATTGACCGTAGGCAAGTTCATATCTTTTTTAGATTTGTCAGGGTATAATTTCAAATTTTGTTGCTTAGCCGCTGTCACAACCTCTGATGGAGTGCATTCCATAGAAGAATCACAATAATCCGTAAGTACTCCGTATACGACGTAGGTTGTCACGGAAATTTCCGTAAGATTGGAATCTTGCGGAGCAGCAGTTTGGATAACCAATCAGATCACTTTTTCTACCTCTCTTCCTGTCTGTTTTAGCACTTGTCATTTGTCAGTTTCGGTGTTAGGTGTAGATTATTCTGATTATTACATTGATTAAGTAAATAAGTACAAACGAAGTTCTGGAGGAAGATGTGGTCTTTTGCTATGTTTTTCTAAATACGGTATCACTAGCTTTGCGGGATTATTAAAGGTTTGCACGTTCATTCGTGTATATTTAAAAAACATCCATGGGTCATTTTTTAGTTCTTGGATTAAATTCTCATAATCACCGTTTTCGGACCTTCTCATATTTACTAGCCTACTCCGCCATTTCCTGTTCAACCACTTTTTTTATGTACTAATACGTATACGCCCATTATTTCAGCTGCGAAGAGTATTAATACAAAATCTTTGGTTTTCATCATTGTAGATTACTTAAGCTTTACTCCTAACAATTTAGCTGGGCGATTATCATTTCAAGTGCACGCAGATGGCGCTATTAGCGTCTTACCGCGAAGGTTTTGAAATCTAATTGCTCTACAAGATTGTGCTTATTTCTCTATCGTTTGCACTGAATATTTATATCTCACTTCGGTTCAACGTTATTGCAATTGAGGTCAACAGTGAAATGACGTTAAACGGAAGTGAGATTATCTGATATTCAGTACACAAAAAAAGCACTGTCCTAGGACTAACTACGTAAAAATAACATAAATACGAGAGTATAATATGGAAACAATTGCTATATGTTGCTTAATATGACATTAATGACTATAAAAATTCAATCCCAAATATAAGGAATCGTTGTTAAACTGAATGTAATTTTATTTATGCTGCAGTTTTCTCATTATTTTTTGACATCGTGGATTTGGACTTCTTTACCTTTTTAGGTTCTGTCAATTCAGCCTTCTGTCGCCTGTTGCCACAGCGCGTAAAATAAAATTTTCATGCTGGTTACATGTAAACCAGGCAGACGGAATTGTTTGAATAATTTGTTGAATACTATCCTCTTGCCACACCAGCTTTGCCACCAATAGCTGGTAGAAAATTTTGTCA